GGGTGTTTAAAGATACCTTTAAACCGATATTCCCAATAGGTCGAGGCTGTGATGAAGGTGTTCCACGGGAAGAGCATCGTACCCCCAGGTAGAACATCAACCAGTATGTGACATGGTACTTGTCTTCAGGCACAGATGTTTCCCTCTCTTCTGTGGGTGAATGTAAAAGAGGGCTTTCCTCCTCGATTGCGCGTGCTTGTGACATGTTGATTAAATGTTATAAAACGAATAGGATGTGATTCTGAACAGTGAACTATAGTTTGCGGTGGGTTTGAGTGCTGCCGCAACTCTGGGTCAGAACTCTATATATCTATCTATACATACAAATATAGTACTATACTTTACATATGTATTAATATATACAATAAAGAGTCATAAACTACCAGGTGACGCTATGTTGAGTATGTATGCCCCCAGCGAGCCCAGCCCCCCTCGCGACCTCCAGTAGACTCCACTCTAGAGAGGGTCATGAACTCACGATCCACTTACCGGCATGTACAAAGCCTAAAATAGGATAGATGGATGACTCATATGAGAGTTATGAGCCAATGAAAACTACGGTAGTTTTGGAATGGCATGCATTTATCACGAATGCCGAGGAACAAGATAGTGGCAACTGGTCTAAATATAAAGAAACAACGTCACAACAAATAAAAGTTGACCGTAAAGTCGGAAACGTGTATTTTAATTCGGTGCTTTCATATGGGCTGGAAGGCTAGAAATGGGAAACCTGCCATGGCGGATAAGTGATAGGCATAGCTGATGGCCCTCTCTGACTCTGAGGCTCTGACGCGGACGGTCTGACCTCTGTTATTTCCGCGAGAACGATATTTTACCTGTGTAGAGTGTATTTAGAGTGTAGAGTAGTAATCTTCTCTTGTGTAGAGACTATGGCTCTGGATGGCATCTCAGATTGACTTAGAAAATTATCAATTATCGATTTCTCCAGTCTCCAAGACATGCACAATGTTTTCCGCTGGCAACCTTTCAAGTACCAGTTTCCAAAAAAAAAAACAATGAACGCAAATAGGGGTTGGGCGTATGATGTTTTGAGCGTCTATGTATGTACATAGCTGTAAAAATATATTTATGCATGATGATAGATTGATATGTATGTATACCTCGGCATAAATATCATCTTTTTGATTGTGTGAATTAGTGCACCCAGACGGACTGGTAGCATATGTGATACGTACTGACGATGGGTGCATTTCGATGTAGCTCAATTATATAAACACGAAATGGCAACGTACACTTGTATCTGAGTGCGATTCAATAAACAAGACTTAAAAGTGTGTAAGTACATATGTGTACCCATACACCTTCTTTAGAATATACAGACATTGAAATATATCCGCTGTTTCCTTATACACACGGAATCCAGTACTACGTACTAATTAGTATTCGGTTTATTATTCTTTGGTTATACCATCGACTACGACAAAACAGTCGAATTATTGTTCACGTTATTTCTTTAAGTGGTGTTGTACAGGCTATTTCCTATGCGTCTAGTATCCATCGGATAGAGAATTCATCCTCGTGGAAGCGCTCAATTTTGGTTTGATTATCCCTGTGTTTGTATAGTCAAGCGTGTAGTTGGCTATAAATCATCTCGCGCGTACATTAAATTTACACAAGCATTTGCCCATATAGCATCGCAAGTACTTCTATTAGATGCCCTGAAAATCCAGTACACGGGATTGCAAGTGCATTAGAATTGCCTGCACATGCAGCAATGCTTATGTGCAAAGCTAGGTAGATATAAACCATTTGACCAATAGATAGTCTAGTATTTTGGAGCTGTAGCGCGAGCTAAATTTCAGATTGGTTGGCTTTGGGTATAATAGGTTAAGAGTGTCGGCGGTTGACGGACATCGAGGTTGTCTGCATATGTGATCACAAATATCATAGCCTCTCATATGTACCACTACATGTAGACGTCAATCAGTTGGATACTACTTGCCCTTCTGCCATCTGTATTTAATGCTACGCGTTTCGTGGCTTCGAGGGCTGTCATCGCTGATCTGGAGTGCTTTATTTGTTCAATATATTTATGAGTCACCGTTTCGTTGGTCGCTTTGTACTGTTCTCCGTTGTTTCTCCCAATAGTTGTATCAGAAATACGAATCAGCACTTCAGTAGCAAATAATTAGTCCAGTGCGCATGCGTGGTTGTGGCACTATATCTGTGTGCGTACACGCACAATCCATTTCTTCGGACTGTACGCGAATCAACCGCCGTTGCACATGATCCACTACCAAGAACACACAATACAGGGATACAACAGATGAACACACGACCGCCTGTTAATACAACAGATGAACACACGGCCGCCTTTCAATGGGATAATATACGATAACAGTAGGATATGCAAGTATCCAATATGCATGACCGCCGTGTTACTGTATAATCCTCTGCTAGTAGAAGATGAAACAAGGAACTAGACAAATACACGTAACGACCTTTCGATGATATGGTATTTTATTAAAAATAGATAATACAAGAACACGGGTCAAATACATCACTTTTCTACGATTTCATCCTCTTTCAACAACAGACAATACAACACACAGCTAGATAAACACACGAACAAATCCGGACGACACACTTCACTGCCAGTAACCCACGACTCAAACATATTGCTGAACACCAGAATCACATCCACCTGTCTACAATATAATACATTATGACAGCGACGGAGGTGAGTGAGTTGCACTCGTGGGACAGATACTTCGCACCCACAATCACCATGCTGAGCAGAGGCCAAGCGAAGACCAAATGCCCTGTCACCGATGCACGGCCGATAGGATCTTATGTAAGTCTGTATACAGAGCTTCCATTAACTCACTGTTTATATGTATGGTCACTAGTCCATATTAGGTTGTTGTTCTTGTGTGTTGTTCAACAGAATAGGTCTAGCACGTATGCTGGATATAAACTAAAACACAATAGGTTTGGTTGAGAGTGGTTGTGTGATAGTAATCCCGTGATAGCCAACTCAACGACCAAGGACACAGTGCAAGCTTGAAACGCCGACTGAGAAGTTGCAGCCTGTTGCCTAGCAACGGAACGTACGGTTATTTGATGCGTTGTATGTCGCTTTTGCACAGATACAAGGTGCAAAGTTGTGTAGAGCGCAATATGATCTCGATGCTAGAACATCTTGTTTAGGCTTTTGCAATCGATAACTGAAGCTGTGCATATGCAGAGCATATTGCCTGCGTTTGGACCGTCACTTTCGTGTGCACACACACGCGTGCAAACGTACAGAATCTGATACCCCTCGCCCGGTTGGTACAGCAGCAAGAGATTGCCTACCTACTGTACGCGAACTCTCGAATTATAGTATTGAGGCGGACAAGCAATTGCACCTGAAGTGCACTTGTAACAAGACTTGGCCTGGTTGTGTTGGTGCGTAGTGTCATGTTGCGTGCAGACCGGGGCCATTCGATACGCCATACGTGTGCCGGTACTGTATTCTGAAAGCGCTGGTGCATATCACATAGTTTACTAATATGATAAATTTATAAAGTTAGGTTTGGGCATCCTTTATAGGCTGCCTAGAGTTAGTTTGGTTGGTTTGAGTTGTCTAGATTGGCGTTATACAGGCTAGATAGGTTTGGTATGAACATGCAAAATACACGTATTTGTGCCGAAAGCGCTTCTATCTGCCGTTCTACGTTAGTATTCATATTCTGGCTTGTATGCTAGCCGAATGTAATACGACCATCCGTATCATCTGTTTAGTTCAGAAAAGGCGGATATATTCTGACAAGTAGTATTGCTAGGTTTCGATCATGCTGAAGTATGCCTTTACTCGATGCCTTGCAATATCTTCAGAATTGGGCAGACTCCAGACTCGTGGTCCCGGGTGCACCCGCAGAAGTGCACCTGAACCTGAAAGCAGGACTGCACTTGAAACGGGACATACAGGCCACCACATCCGCCGACGAGGACTATGTTGAACACTCGCTATTCCCTTTAGAATCTTTATTCCTATCAGTCCTAAAACACAACCCGAAATACAAGTTTCAGGATATGGGCCTAGCCACAGATTGCGCCAATTTAACAGCGTTGTACGGCTTTATGAGGGGCACGGCAGATAAGGACTTCAGTGTCGATGTGACGCGAGTGGGCGAGCTGATACTTTTCCAGCAGGTGTTACCTACCGAGAACTCAGTACCGAACTTCTCGCACGCGCATTTGCCGGGCTATCAACAGGACTTTGTGCTGCGGTATGCCTTGAAGGAGCGCCGGCATTCTAAAGGCCAACACCACCGGGTGATACAGTGTAAGATAGGGGGACTGAATGTACTAGTACGTAGTTTGAACACGGCTGTGCTACACAAACCAGTTCATGAGCGAACACACCCAGGCACCCTCACACGGGATATGCATAAACCAGAGTTTACAGGCACATACACGGGTGTGAAACCGCTGCGGCTCCGTTTATTGGACACTACGGAAGGACTGGACACGTCCTTTTCTGACCTGAGATTGGGTGCACTGTTGGATACTGTGGACAGAGAACACACTCAATCAGTGGCCACACGTTTGGTACTGAATGATTCGAAGGAATCCGACGCAGATCCGCAATACGACATCGAAGGTACGAGTGGGGGTGAAGCAGATGAGAAGGTCAGACACGGTGACAGCACTAAGAAGACCAACCCAGCAAGTGCCAGACTCAGAGATCGGGGCTCATCCACTCGGACCCAACAGTACTCGGGACGGAATAAGACTCGCGCAAAGGACACGTGCGGAAATAAGCGTGACGCTCGCGCACACCCGCGGACTGGGGATAGGGGGAGCCACGCGAGAAGCACGCGCGACGACGTGGCCACGCGTGCGCAACGCGTGCATAGCCAGCACAGTGGGGTGTACGGCAGCAGAGGGGTGTCTACAGCCACCACACTCCAGTACACAAGCGAGCTGGACTTAGACTTAGGCAGCACGGACCACACGGCACAGGTGAGGCGCGCGTGTAGTAAAGACACAACGCGTGGAACAACGTCCGGGAGTACGGCATGCTCGACGGCTGAGCTACCAACACGTGAGAGCACCGACACACACACACAGGCGCACTATTCGCAGACACGGCCCACACAGTTGGGAGCTCCGTCTCCGATACCACAGAAGCTACCTACGCCTATAGCTAAGGTGTGTGGGGAGTCCGATGCCCTGCGGGCGCTTGTCACGCCACTCAACCGCACGACTATGGAGCAACCGTGCGACAGTCCCGCTATTGCTGCAACTAGTAGTACCGGGACGGCTACGGAGCTGACGAAGAGAGATCGGCGACCAGAAGGTATGACTCGCACGAAGTGATAGGGTAGTGTACTTGTACATGTTGTGACAAAGTAGGGCGTGTGCTATATCATGTGAGGAACGCTGTATCTAAGGTGAAGCACTGAACAAGACTTGTCATCGTAGGCATGAGACGAACACGGCATCGTGCGTAGGTACGTACAATCATGCAACACTTTGCGACTGCGAATTGTACAGACAATTACTTACCCCACGCCAAACAGTAAGCTCACAAAGGTAGATATAACTTGTTAGTAAGCTTACAAAGATAGGTATAATTTAATAGTAAGCTTACAAAGGTAGGTATAACTGATATTTCATGGCGCCATATACAAACCATACTTAGGAAAATACAACTTGCTATTCACTGCATCTCGATTGTACGTAGATAAATACCGCAAGCCGTACACCATACACGCACTGAGACCCTCATGATCAACAACACATCGTTGATCAAGTTCATGCAGATAGGTATGGCCAGAGATAGGGTATCAGCTCAGCAGACACACACAGCCGCACACTAGCCAACTGCACACGCTATGCGCTCTAGTTGCATAGGATTGCAGCTTATGGGCTCTACTATTGACATGCATCGACCGTAGATCACACCTTGAGATGTTTTTATTCTCAACCCGCATACGATTTTATATATATAAACTAAACCCTAAAACCCCTTCTGTAAATGTCTTTGGGCTATACAAAAGTT